GTTTATAAAATAGGCTTGTCGATTCAAATAAACAGTAAAAAAGGGATAATATGAAGAAGTGTTTGAATGAGAAGAAGGAACAGAAGAAGACAAGGAAAAAAGCGGAATGATGAAGAAATATAAAAAGAATAAATCTAACGAAGAGTAAAAATGAGTAGAAAGAGCAGAAGAAGGGAAGGGAAAAAGTAGAATAAAAGTAATAAGAACAGTGTAAAAAGAAGGAGAAGAAGAAGAAGAGGTCGAATAAGAAGAAGGAGCAGAGAATAGAAGGAAAGAATTGGAAGGAAGATAAAGAAAAGTAGGAGGATTAAAAAAGAAGAAAACTATGAAGAAAAGATTTGAAGATGAAGCAGAAGAGAATGTAAGAAAAAGATAAGTAAGGAAGAAAGTGTAAAAGGAAGGAGGGTAATGAAATGTTGAATTTCATGAAAGATCAAAAGAAGAGAATGTTAAAGCGGAAAGAATAAGAAAACTTGGGAAGAAAGGGTAAAAAAGAAAGATAACATGAGGAAAAAGAAGAATGTATAGAAGGATAAGAAGGAGTGAAGGGAAGAAGAAGAAAAGTAGGAAAAATTATAAAAAGAAGGGTAATAATAAGACGTTAAATAAGAAGAAGAAGAAGAAGAAGAAGAAGAAGAAGAAGAAGAAGAAGAAAGAAAAAAGCGGGAAGAAGAAAAACGTAAAAAGAAAGATAATGAGAAGAAGAGTAAAAATGAGAAGGAGGAACTGAAGGAGAGAAGAAAAAATCGAAAAAAAAAAAAAAGTAGGGAAGAAAGAATAAAAAGAAAAATACGAAAAATAGGAGAATGAGTGGAAGGAGAAGAAAGAGGGAAAATAATAATATGAAAACTAGGAAAGAAAGTGTAAAAAAGAATAATGTGAAGAAGAGGTTGAATGAGAAGAAGTGAGCAGAATAAGAGAAGAAAAAAGCGGTAAGAAGAAAAATGTAGGAAAGAATGAGTAAAAATAAGGATAATACGAAGGAAAGGGAGTACTAGGTGAAGAAGGTAAGGAAAGAAGAAAAGAATTAAATTCGGAAAGTAAGAAATATAATTTGAAGAAGAGGGAGAATGGAAAAAGAAAAAACTAAGAAAGAAATGGAAAAAGAAAATAGTTTGAAGAAGAAGAAAAAAGAGCGGAAGAAAAAAAGAAAGAGAAGGAAAAAAGAAGAGAAGGAAATGAAAAAGAATTAGAAAAGTAAGAGTAAAGGTATGGATAACGAGAAAAAGAATGAATAGAATAAGCAGAAGACGAGAACGAAAAACACAAAGGAAACTAGAAAAGAAATATACAAAAAGAATAAATAAGATCAACAGAAAAAGGAAGGAAAATGCGAAAGAAAAAATGTGATGGAAAATAGGGAAGAAGAAAAGAGAAGAAAAAACAAGGAAAGAAAAATTTGTTCGGAAAAAAGGGAAGGGAAAAAGGAAAGGAAAATAAGGAAGGAAAAAGGGAAGGAAAACACGGAAGGAAAAAGAGCAAAGTAAAAAGGACAAGGAAAAAAGGACAAGGAAAAATGGGGAATAAAAAACGGGAAAGAAAAACAGGAAAGGAAAAATAGGAAAAGTTAAAAAGGGAAGGAGAAATCGCGAAGGAAAATAGGGGCAGAGAATCGGGAAAGAAAAAACGAGGAAGGAAAAAAGGAAAGAAAAACGGAAAAGGCAAATAGTGAAGGAAAAAGGGAAGGAGAAAAAAGGATGGAAAAACCGGAAGGAAAAACGGGGAAAGAAAAAAGGTGAAATAAAAAGTAGTAGGTAAAAAGCGGAAGGGAAAAGGGAAGAAAAAGGGGAAGGAAAATGAGGAAGGAGAAACACGGAAGGAAAAACGCAGAAAGAAAAGGGGGGATAAAATAGGGGAAGGAAAAATTCGAAGGAAAAATGGTCACGGAAAAAGGCGGGAAGAATAAGAGGAAGGAAAGATGGGGAAAGAAAAAGGTGTATGAAAAACAGGAAAGGAAAACTAGAAAGGGAAAAGGGGAAATAAATAGGAAAGGAGAAAAAGGGGAAGAAAAAAACGGGTCAGGAGAAAAGGAGAATGGAAAAGAGGATGGAAGAACGCGGAAGGAAAAAGTAGATGGAAAAACGGTGAAAGTAAAAATGGGTAGAAAAAAAGCGGACGGAAAGAAGGGAAGGAAAAAGGGGAAGGAAAACAGGAAAAGAAAAAGAGAAAAGAAAATGGGGAAAAAAGGGAAAAAAGGAGAAGGAAAAGAGGAGGAAAAAGGGGAAGGAAAAGTGGAAAACAAAATAGGAACCAAAAAAAGTGGAAAGAAAAGCGCGGAAGAAAAAAGTGGAAGGCAAAGGGGGAAGGAAAAATTGGAAAGGAGAAAAAGGGGAAGAAAAATGGGAAAAAAAACGAGATGGAAAAAGGAGAAGGAATAAGGCGGAAGTAAAAAATTGGAAGGAAATACGTGAAAGTAAAAAGGGGAAGGAAAAATGCAGAAAGAAAAAAGGGAAAAATTGGAAGGAAAAAAAGCAAAGCAAAAATTGGAAGGAAAAATGGGGAAGGAAAAAGGCGGAAGGAATAAGTGGACGGAAAAAGGGGTAGGAAAAATGATAAAGGAAAATGGGGGAAAGAAAATGTTCGAAGGAAAAACGGGAAAGGAAAAAAAGGAGAAGGACAAAAGGGGAAGCAAAAATTGGAAGGAAAACAGGGAATGAAAAAGTGTAAGTAAAAAAAGGCGAAAGAAAAAAAAGGCGAAGAAAAAACGTGGAATGAGAAAGGTGAAGTAAAAAAGGGGAAAGAAAAACATGGAAGAAAAACGCGGAAGGAAAAGTAGAAGGAAAAATGTGAAAAGAAAAAAGGGGTAAGAAAAACACGGTAGAAAAAAAGGGGAAGGAAAAAGATTAAAGAAAAAGTGGAAGGAAAAAGGAAGAGGAAATATGTTGAAAGAAAAATGGTGAATAAAAAATGCTGAGGGAGAAAGTTGAATGGAAAAAATGTAAAGGAAAAAGGAGAAAGGAAAAATGCGGAAGAAAACAAGAGAACGAAAAAAGGAGGAAAAGGGAAAGGGAAAATGCGGAAGAAAACAGGAGAAGGAAAAAAGAAGGAAAAGGGAAAGGAAAAATGCGGAAGAAAACAGGAGAAGGAAAAAAGAAGGAAAAGGGAAAGTGAAAATGCGGAAGAAAACAGGAGAAGGAAAAAAGAAGGAAAAGGGAAAGGGAAAAAGAGGAAAGAAGATGACAAAGAGAACTTTTCTTACGAAAATAAAGAAATAATGTAGACAAAATATTGTAGTTTTCATCGTTTCCATTTTTGCTATATATATATATATATATATATATATATATATATACTACTTCTGCTAACGGCAATAAATTCTCTGGGATGCCATCATCGAATCTGATCCCCGCCCATCTGCAACAAACAAATAATTTCTGGCTTCCATATTTTGCCTGCACTTCCATTTCCACTTCCATTTCATTGCTTTCATCATCCCCTTTTTTTTAAACCCTGCGTTTTTTTTTTTTTTTCTTTTCCATCATGTTTTATTCGCCTATTTGATTCATTTCTTTCCTGTCCCAATCATCCTTACTCTCCAAGTACCCGCCAACATTACGCTTAACGCAATCTATTTCCATTTGATTTTATACCCTTTTCACACCCTTTTTCTCGATCATTTTTCTTAATTTCCGCTAGCATTGTCCTCACTTCGCACGATTATCCTCTTAGAAACACCGTTGTGTGTTAATCATTCATAGCAAGCTTATGGAATGATGACAGGTGAAGCTGCGAGAGAATTTCATAAGCATTCCTTTGTCCAATTAAAGTTGCAGTTTTCATGTAGGGAGCGAAAACTTCTTCAATCTGCACGTGTGTACAAAAAAGACCCATCATGTGTTGTTTATATCTTATAAAGAAAGGATTCTGAAAATTAAGCGCTTCGAGGATGAAGTCAATTTTTCATCGTGTTTTATCATTTAGTCATATTTTTGGAAAGTGTATTGAACACTGAATTTTTCTAGTATTTTCTAACTTATGATATCTTGAAGTAATTATTCATCCTCTATGTGCTTTTCTATCATGACTTTGGCGATCATGGATCTCCACAATTTCCTGTCATTTGTCGCTTTTAATAAATTTTTTTGTTCGTCATTTTGCTATAAATGTATTGTTGGTAGTTCTAATATGAAATGTATTGTTGGTCATTTTCCTCTAAAATGTATTGTTGGTAATTTTGCTATAAATATGTATTGTCGTTATTTTTTTATATAAATATGTAAAACAAGGCATCGCCAGCATGAAAATGTATTTTTATACTTTCATTGTGTTTTGTTTTTGTTTGGCTGTTCACCATTTGCACATAGCTGGTACCCTAACAGCTGTTGCCAACTCGAGGTCAAGATGCACGATATTCAAAATCGCCTGATCAGTGACCTTGCTACTGGTTGTGGGTTTATCATCATACCCACTGAAATTATGACATCTAATATCAGATCGTTCTACGAGTGCCCCTGGTACTCTGTAATACATCCTCTATGTGCTTTTCTATCATGACTTTGGCGATCAGGGCTCTCCACAATTTCCTGTCATTTGTCGCTTTTAATAAATGTTGTCTTTTGTTCGTCATTTTGTTTTGATGCCAGATAGTCAGTTTATATGCAACTAAAGATGCCCCCAACGAGGATTTTCTGGTGATGAAACTGGCGAGACATGATTAAGAACAAGACCTGTCATAGGGCAGAAATACGTAAGGTGAATGGTTATATAGCAGATATTTAGACTGGGATTCATAGCTATGTATGTAGCCAATGCTTTGATAACTTGGAATCGGTGGACGGAGCGTTTCCTATACGGAAGACATCGACCAGAACGAAGGGTTCCCCCACATATCCGTAAGCTTCATGGTCATCGACTGTAGTTTAAACATCAAGAGACTCAGCTAGGTCTACATGCCCATTACGGGCTACGAATGAAGGAATATCTCTCAGGCTTCCCACTCAGATATGTGAAAGAAATTGCTCTGGTGCGCATCTGCACAGTGGCACTGCGGTCACAGCTAGTCAGGATAACAAACAATGATGATCAGTTATTGCATCTTGCCACAACAAATTGTAAAAGGATGTAATGAACACCAACAATTATACAGAAAAACCTCTCATCTACGGATCCCCGCTCCCCATTAACGGACTTCGGATGCAATGAGAAAAAATCTGCAGGCTAAAAAAAAAAAAAGAAGTTATGCAGGAAAAAACTTTAAAAATCCACAGCGATGTATTTCAAAATTTGCGGGCTTAGCGGAACGAGCCGTATTAGTTCTTAAAGTGACCGCTTGGCGGCGGTGGCGGGCCTTTCAACTGTAAACAAAGACGAGTGTACAGTATATAAAGTACGATGCGTTAGTTCGTGCGAGAGAAAGTAGCTGTGAGAAAGCTATTATTTTTGTTATTTTGATTAATATATCTATTAAGTATATATTTATTTATGCCATATATACAGGTTTACAGTATTTAAATTATGATCATAACTACTGGTAGTTACTATAGGGGTTTTATAACTAAAAAATAATCCCTCCCCATCTACAGACAATAGGCCTTAACAGACCATCCATCCCCACTATTAGTCCATTACACGTCAAATATCACAAAGATTTGTTTTCACTCTATTTATACGGAGTTGGTCATAACGTTCGTTCGGTTAATAAGTAGAAAATTTATTAAAACAAACGAACTTTTTGGTAAACCCAAATACTTGCCACAATAAATAGTATAGGACATTTATTCATTTTTATTCGTTATATCGTAACACATCAAAGAGAACAGCGTTTTTTTTTTCATTTTAATTATTGAATCTTGCCATGACGAATAGATCAAAGCTTTAAGTCACGCTAACAATTATGTTTTCACATGAACTTGTTCAAAGCTTTTTCCACTCTAAATAAATATCATATCACAATCGATAGCTCAAAGCTTTTACTCTAACGATTATATATTTACGAAACAAAACCTCATAGCATTTTTTCTGTTTTATTATTAAATCATTCCAAAACCAATACCTCAAAGATTTAATTTATACACTTCCATATGATATACAGGGGTGTTCGATAAAAGGGACTCAATGATTTTTTTTACTAAAATAATTTTTAATTTTACTAAGTTAAAGATCCCTTCCAGACTACCTAGGAAAAAAATTATTCAACATAAGGTATTCTATTGATAATTATAAATTTGGATATAAATGAGATTCAGGAAAAAAAAAACTCTGCGCAAAAAAAGTGACTCAGATATCACATTCTAATGATTAAACTGATAAATTTAAAGAACTTTTGACAAAATATTGAAAACTATTTTACAATACAACCAGAACAATATTCTAGAGAATTCTCGAACAGCTTAAATTAAATCTAGAGTATTCCAAAATATTCCAGAAAGCCTTATACAGTATAAAAACAGCATGAAATAGCCACTCAAGTCACTAACCAGAATAAAGGGTACAAACACGCATCAGAACCACTTAAGGCATCTATTATTGCCTTCTCAAAAGCAGGCAAGTCTACGAGAGAAATTGAAGGAATTGCTATAACCTTGCAATTAACGGTCGCTCGAGTGCTTAGGGCACATAATGATGCCACTCGTGCTCCATTGAATGAAACAAGAGGACGAAAGAAAAAGATTGATGATAGAACTGGCAGGGTAATCAAGAGAGAAGTTGCGAAGAATAGGACTATAACTAGCCAAGAAATTGCAGCCAGTCTAAGCGAAGAGCAAGATGTTAGTCTTGCCTCTTCAACAGTCCGTCAGAACAAGGTTATAAATCTTGTTAGAACAAGGCTACAAATCTTGTACACGAAGGTTTAAGCCGCTAATAAGCAAAGCCAACAAATCCCAGAGACTTGAATGAGCTCACTATTACAAAAATTTCACCATAGAAGACTGCAAGAATGTTCTCTTCTCCGATGAAACGAAAGTTGAGCTAAATTCAAAGGATACGGTGAGTCATCTTTATCGAACGGCAGTGTAGCACAAAATGCGATTGCGTCTCACACAAAAGAAAATTTAGTCAGAACTTCTTTTTACTCATACGATTATATCCGTACACATCAAAAAACTCAAAAGTCCTCCTTTTACTAATTAATATATTGTACCACAACAAATATTTCAAATATTTAAACCACTGTAATTGGTATAGAGCTCTTTAAATAGTAAATCAATTTACTACTGTTCTTTTTTTTTTGTGAGTTTTCCGAGCCAATCAATTTTGCCAGTATGTTATTTTAAGGCTTTGCTGACATTAGAAATGTATATCTTATCACTTATTGCTGTACTCTTTCATGGCATCGATCATTTCACTTCAAACATTTTCATATCAAAGACACTGCAACCAGGCGCCCTTTCACTGGGTATAGCCCAGGATAAAGACGATAGACTACATCCGGCAGCAAGTCTTCTGATGTGAGATACTGAGGTGCGTGAAACCACTCCTTGATCTTACTTATTATAAAATGCAGATTTTGTGTGTGTGTGTGTGTGTGTGTGTGTGTGTGTGTGTGTGTGTGTGTGTGTGTGTGTGTGTGTGTGTGTGTCTGTACGTTTATATATTGGATCGGATTTCTTACATTTTTCAACCGATTTCAACAAAACTTCACAGGACTGCGTAAAATTACCTTGCGGTGGTTCTGACAGCGCCAAAAATTGGAAAACACAATTGTTTTTGCACGAAATCAATTTGAAAGCACGATAAAACACGATTCTGTCGCCAGAATGAAGGGGACAACTCATATCGAGTTATACTTATTATAAAACCCAGGTTGTTTGTGTGTGTGTGTGTGTGTGTGTGTGTGTGTGTGTGTGTGTGTGTGTGTGTGTGTTTATATATGGGATCGGATTTTCTACATTTTTCAACCGATTTCAACAAAACTTCACTTTTTTTTTTGAGGCAGTGTTTCTTATTGTTTAGCACACCTTTTTCTTTATTTTTACATTCAGAATGTTTTAAAAATTCCATTTACAAGACAATTGTTTATAATAAAATTCTATTCAATCAGTAGACTCATAACGATTGAAAACAATGTTTTTGTTTGAGTTTGGGTTTGACTAATTCGTAAAAAAAAAAACTAATTAAGACATGTGTGTCCGTCAACCTTGAACAATAATCTTTGTCAATTTTTTTTTCAGTCTTTATGATGGTCGATACTTGATCTATCTCTTACTGTTACATCTCCGGGCAACGCCGAGCTCTCCTGCTAGTTGCTGATATTCACAGGTCCACCTTGACCCGGGATGGTAGCAACTATTAGTGTCCCGGCTATAAGCAAATAGTGAACCTCAAACAAAAAACAAAACACTATGACAGTCTAAACATACATTTTATAGTAAAATAACCATCAATATATTTTATCTGTAGTAGAAGGCATACAACTGTGTTCGAAATATTTATAGTTGATTACATAAGAGTGTGTTCAAAATATTTAGATTTTGGCGTGAAATAACTCATAGAGGTATTGATATGCCGCTAAACAATCAACCAACCAGAATATAGCTTACTCATTATTAAAAAAGTTTCAGATATTACTGGAAAATCTTCGAAGTGTAGTAAACTAGAAGCGTGAAATGCAATGAAACTGATTTTTATAATAAAAAATATTGATTGATTCATTTTTTTTCTTTTTTACAGTTCATCAATTTTTACAGCAGTGAATGTTGAACGATTTCTTCAAAGATGAAGAATAGACTCGAGGCGACGGAGATGTGGTTCTACAGAAGGATGCTGAGGATATCATGAACCGAGCGTGTGAGCAACGATAAGGTCTTAGTGAGGTTGGAAAGAAGGGGGAGGCTTATAATTAACATCAGGAAGAGGCAGCCGAAATTTCTGGGAATCATAATAAGGAAGGAAGGCCTGGAGAATCTGATACTCACGGGTCGAATAGAGGGAAAGGGAGACAAAGGAAAACAAGGCATGACATACCTAACAAACAAGTAGAGGACAGCTTGATCTGGGGGGAGGTGGTAGAGGGAAGGGAATTGTTGAGAGCTGTAAAGGATAGAGGGAGGCGGAGAGCTATGATCGCCTATGCCACATAAAAAGAAAAAGGAAAAGATAGATGATCTTTTTTGTTTATAAGTATTATTTTGAGCTAATACTGATTTTTACTGGTACGAGTTCTACTAATTAACCTATAACTGGCGGGGAATGGTAGATTCATACTTTATCCAAAGGTATTTACGCGTAAGTCAACATAACGAACCTGACTTGCATTGGAACACGACTTTCCTCCTTGACAGTTGAAATTTCTAGAACACAGAATGAGGAAAGTGGGATTGGATACTTTGACACTCACAGGGGTTCTGGGTATGACGATAAACTACATCGGCGTCCTGGGTAAGACGATAAACTACATCGGCGTCCTGGGTATGACGATAAACTACATCGGCGTCCTGGGTATGACGATAAACTACATCGGCGTCCTGGGGATGATGATAAACTACATCGGCGTCCTGGGTATGACGATAAACAATATCGGCGACCTGGGTAAGACGATAAACTACATCGGCGTCCTGCGTATGACGATAAACTTCATCGGCGTCCTGGGTATGACGATAAACTACATCGGCGTCCTGGGTAACACGACAAACTACATCGGCGTCCTGGGTAAGACGATAAACTATATCGGCGTCCTGGGTAAGACGATAAACTACATCGGCGTCCTGGGTATGACGATAAACTACATCCGCGTCCTGGGTAACACGACAAACTACATCGGCGTCCTGGGTAAGACGATAAACTACATCGGCGTCCTGGGTATGACGATAAACTACATCCGTCCTGGGTCCGATGGGTCGGCGTCCTGGGTATGACGATAAACTACATCGACGTCCTGGGTAAGACGATGAACTATATCCGCGTCCTGGGTAACGATAAACTACATCGGCGTCCTGGGTAAGACGATAAACTATATCGGCGTCCTGGGTATGACGATAAACTACATCGGCGTCCTGGGTAAGACAATAAACTATATCGGCGTCCTGGGTAAGACGATAAACTATATCGGCGTCCTGGGTATGACGATAAACTACTTCGGCGCCCTGGGTAAGACGATAAACTACATCGGCGTCCTGGGTATGACGATAAACTACATCCGCGTCCTAGGTAAGACGATAAACTACATCGGCGTCCTAGGTAAGACGATAAACTACATCGGCGTCCTGGCTATGACGATAAACTATATCGGCGTCCTGAGTATGACGATAAACTAGATCCGCGTCCAGGCTATGATAATAAAGCACCTCCGTATCCTGGATAAGACGATAAACTACGTCCAATAGCAAGGCCTCTGATAATACGTTTTTTAAAAAAATAATGTTGCCAGCTGTGCGTTTTTGAAAAAAGATTACCAGCTATATGTTTTTGAAAGAATAGTGTTCCGGCTATACGTTTTTGTAAAAATAATATTACCAGCTATATGTTTTTGAAAAAATGATATTACCAGATATACATTTTTGAGGAAAAAATATTAACAGAAATAGATTTTTGACAAAACAAAAATATTACAGGAAAAAAAATTTGTCGGCATTAAATGGCCCATTGAGGTTGATATGCCGTAAAACAAAACAAAACAAACCTTTGAGGTTCACAGGGCATATTTAATGGTAGGTGAAAAATGCGAGTAACTTATCTATGAATCTTGTGTACATGGAGGACAGAACTGCGATTGAGAATGAAGACAAACGGTAATAAGAGTTAAAAAGATAGGTAGTTGCGGAAGGGCCGTGATAGCCCAAACTCCGAAGAAGAAGCCCAGTAATAGACAGAAAATATGAATATTTGTGTAATGCAATATTCTTTTACCCCCTCCCCATTTATTCCTTTGTTTTCTAAATAGCAACAAAAATAATACATCATATATTTTCATAACGCAAACTATTAGGAATATTACTTCACATTTTCCATATCCCTTTATTAATAAAAATACGAACCCGCGTCACTTATTTATATGTTTTAACAACATTACAAAAGAAAATGTGTTTTGTCGCTAATATTACATGTCTCCTGCGTTCTTTTCTATATCCGATGGACTCTCTTAACAACCACGTTATCAATATTTGCAATCAAAAACTATCATTCTTATTTTAATAAAAAAAACACAAAAAAAAAAACACGTATTTTTCATTTTTATATTTACTGAACGGATTATCATATTTTATCCGATTTCATATTGCTGTGTTTTGTCAAGTTTTGGGTTCGTTGTATTTTTCTTCATTTTTTTTCCCTATATGCTGTTTTTTTTTAATTTTTTGTAATAACATTAAAGAAATACGATTCTTAAATTTTGTCAAATGTACGACAGTGTCTTTATGAATAAACTTGGAAAGATAGAATGTCGTTAACGGACAGCAAAATAAAAAGACTTGGTGCGAAAATCAATTTATGGAAACGACGTAATTGAATATCGGCAAATAAATACATTAGGAAAGCGTGTGAACAGATTTTCTCTCGTATTTGCCTTGTTACTTTCTTTGGTGTTAAGACAAGGGGAAAATCTGTGTAAGTTGGTCGACGGCAGAGGTAAAAGGGCTAAATATATTAACAAATAACAAAAAGGATGGAGAAAACAAGTAGGGGATGAAGAGAAATCGAATCTAAAGACGAAGGAGGAGGAGAGATGAGAGTGGAAGATAGAGAAGCAGAGAGAAGAGGAAAAAAGAAAGAAACAGGAGAATGGAAAAGGATAAGGAAAAGAAGTATAAAATGTAGCAGAAGAGTGAGAAAGAAAGAAAGAAAGAAAGAAAGAAAGAAAGAAAGAATATAGTAAGAAGAATGGGGGAGGGTGAAAGATAGATTAGAATCAAGGAACGTAGAGAAAAATGAGAGCAGTGGTAGGAGAAAATTTAGAGGGGGTAGCAGTAGAAGAACAATAGTTAACCGAGGGCTACGAAAGGGAAGAAAGATGAGAAAAGAAAAAAGAAAGAAGAAGCATAGTATAGAGAAGAAGAAGAAATATGGGATAGAGAAGAAGAAGAGGAAGAAGAAGAAGAAGAAAATATAGAAGAAGAAGGTATATGCTAGAGAAGAAAAAAGAAGATGGTGATGATGAAGTACAAGCTAGAGAAAAGAAGAAGTATAGGCTACAGAAGAAGAAGCAAAAGCAGAAGTAGTATAGGATAGAAAAGAAGAAGAAGAAGAAGAAGGAGGAGGAGGAGGAGGAGGAGTAATAGTATAGGCAAGAGGAGAAAAATAAGAAGAATTATAGGCTAGAGAAGAAGATGAATTGAGAAAAGAGAAAATAGAGACGAGGGTTAAACATACAAAGAGAAAAATAAAGAGGGGAAAACCTCTGATAAACGAAGAAAAGAAAAAGTGAAACACATAGAGGGAAAGACAGAAAGAAAGCGAGAAAGAGAAAGAAAGAGAGAGAAAAAGAATGAAAGAGAGAAAAAGAGGGAGACATAAGAAAGGAAAACAATATACGAATTAAGATGGCACGAAAAAGAAAGAAAATAAATGAAAAGAGAACGAAATAAAGAAAAGAAAATCATTGAAAAACAAACAAGAAAGAAATACATGAAAAAAAAAAGAAAAAAAGAATAATATGAAAAGTAATGAAAAAATCAAAAGCGAATGGACATATCAACGGGAAAGATAAGGACTAAAATGAATACAATTAGGAAAGAGAAAGGTGTATGCGTGTGAATGAGTGAGTGAAAAAAAGAAAGCAAGAAAAAGATAAAAAAGAAAGAAAGAAAGAAAAAAGATAAAAAAGAAAGGAAGAAAAAAAGAAAGACAAAAGATAAAAAAAGTGAAAATGAATAGGAAGAAAGAAAGAGGAGGAAAGGGATGAGACAAAAGCGAAATAGATGGAAAATCAAGTAAACAAAAAATATTATGTTACGAAGGAGGAAAAAATTAAGAAGATAAAAGCGCAGAAATATTAGGGACAAGATACATCAAAGGGATGATATCGAAAAGTTAACAAAAAAAAAACAAAATATGATGCTAATAGAAAAAGAAACGAAGAAGGAAAAGTAAAATGAAAGAAAATGAAGAAAAAGAAAAAGAAGAAAAAGAAAAAGAAGAAAAAGAGAAAAAATAAATTCAGGAAAAAGATGGGGAAATAAAGTTGTAAGGAGGAATGTAAAATAATTAAATAAAAACGTCCAAATTGGAAAAGCAAAAATAATTGTGAGTGACATTTCACAGCCTTTGCTTCACACCGCACAGGTTCAATGGAATAAAAAATTAGTTGAGACTAAAATTTCATTTTAGAAGAATGACAGAGAATGAAAATTATCACGTGATAAAAATGGCGGAATGGAGGAAGTGTTGCAGAGCAGCTTTCCCTCTGGTGTTGTTAAGTTTTAAACAGAGGGGAAAAATCATGAAATTCGACAGGGAATATAACATTTCCGTTTTGTTTATTTCTTTAAACTTTCAAAGTAATTTCATAATCCATCCACATACTGCAATGAGTTATCAACTATTTTAACTTAAAAAGCCGTAAGCTAAGCTGTACGGTGATGTTAAGACATACGATTGAAAAATGTTTACAAAAACAACAACAATAAAAAACAGCAGAACCTTTATAAACTAGGCAAAATTTACGGTATAAATAGGGAAGGAAGTAAAAGAAGAAAAAAAAGAAGAGGAAGAAGAAGATGATGAAGAAGTGGAGTAAGAAGAGAAGGAAGATTACGATGAAGGAGAAGTTGAAGAAAAAGAAAAAGAAGGCAAGGAGAAGATAAGGAAGAAGAAGAAGAAGAAAAAGAAGAAGAAATAGAAGAAGAAAAGAAAGAAAATGAAAAGGAAAAAGAAATTGAGAGATAAGAAAGAAGAGAAATATACTGACACCAAAACAGAAACAAAATGTTTGAGTTAAAAAGTGAGCAACATAAAAATCCCAAAAAGGAAAAAATGGGAGAAAAATACGAGAGAGAGAGAGAGAGAGATGGAAATAGAGAGTGAAATACTAAAAGGAGAGAGAAACATGAGTGTGAGAGAGAAATATGAGTGTGAGAGAGAAATATGAAAGAGGGGTAGAGGAGAAGAAATCGAGAGAAAATGAGCAGAAAAGAAGAGAAAGTAAGCAATATAATATCGGACTAATCTAGACCCCGCCGATAGTGGTTGATGGAGTTAATAGTCACTCCCCTTTCACTCATTCTCCACACATAGACACACACACATATATACAAGCATATATATATATATATATATATATATATATATATATATATATATATATATACATATGAGGTAGGATGTGTGTGTGTGTAACGAATGCACGTATGCAGTTTTCGACAGATTTGCACCAAAATTTGCATGCACATGCTCCAAATTAGCGGGAAGGCCAAGACCGATTTTGCATTTTCCAACTCCCATCGATAGTGGAAATAATCGATTTTTTCATGCTTCTACGGCAGTTTTCATGTAGTTTGCGGCCATTTTGTAGTGGCCAGAGTGAGAGCCAATAACTGGCTGCCACGAATGTTAACTATTATGCTAGGATGCAAAAAAAATCGATAGCTGCATTCGTCACAAGTGGGAAAAATTTAAATCTGCATGGCACTTTACTCCAATTGGCTCATTGGCTTGCTTAAACTAAACGTTGATTCAGATTCCGAAGAACTGGGTTGAGTGTGAAAAAGTATTTGTTGACAACATTCTTTTTTCATTCAGTTTTTTCAGTTACGAGTCCTTTTTTTAAAGCTGATGGTTTTGTGTTCATTTTGTTTAGTTCTTTTTTCGTAACAGATTTAATGATTAGTATAGAGCTTAGAAAAAATTCGCAGTGTGAGATAGGCAAGAAGTAGGACATGTAGCAACATCAGCAAGTCAAAGGGCACTCCTTTAAAGTAAAGGCAAGGAAGTGCAATAATATTTTAAGTTAAGCGATAGCGATTGCTGTATGAGTCGCACGATTTTTGAATCAAGCACGGGCAACGCCGGGCCATGCTGCTAGTATATATATATATATATATATATATATATATATATATATATATATATATATATATATATACACCAGATGTAATTGACCAAATCGTGTAACCGCATGTGATAATTGTCCATCCCACATAATTTTTAATATCTAAAAAAGAAAAAAAACTAACACTAAACTAATTTAGTTACTTTTTTCCAGATTTTGAGATATGACGTTTAGCCATCTTGAGACCATCTGTCGTAAGAATCACTGAAAAACCCTGTGATTTATTCATGTTGAAAAAGAACAGGTTAAAATCGTACTGTGTCAGTCCCAATATGTCTTCCCAACTGGGCGATGGTGTGAGGATAAAATCCTTCAGGGCTTCAGTAATGGTACCAACATTCAGATTCTAGCTCCCATCTTCAATAATAATGTTTTTTTTTATGAAAGTATTTATTTATATTTCAGATCGACCTCAATCTTTCTTCAGAAATAACGATAATAGTTATTTCTGAAGAAAGATCGAGATCGATCTGAAATATCTAAATATAAATACTTTCATAGAAAAATATCATTATTTTTAATTTGCAACTCTTTCTCTCTCTCTCTCTCTCTATATATATATATATATATATATATATATATATATATATATATATATGTGGTATACCTCAAACTCTAGCTTATAAATTAGCATACATGATGAAAAAAATACTCAAACTTAATAAACAAACATTTATAGTCAAAATCTTTACTTTATTATTAAGAGGAAATACCAAAGGATTTGTTGATTATTAAATTAATATTTTTATACTTTTTAGGACCTTCTCAATTTGGGTTACATTTTCTTTTTCTTGTGTCAACGGTTGATCATAAATTAATATGGGAAATTTTAACCGCTCTTTTGCGGTGCAAAAGGAATTGATTTGAAAATTCTTTCAAAAGTTAAATGATTGTCGGTTTTTAATGAAACTTTCACAACTTATTCACAAATGAACTCAATTACTTTCAAAATGTTTATTAGAAATTTCTGGTATTTTTATTTTTAGATGTGTTAACCTTAATTATTTTTTTTTTGTTTTAAATTTCAATGAATTTCTTTTTGTAGGGCTCAATTTTTATATTAGTTATTATATCTTAGAAAATTAATATCATCAATTTCTTTTTTGTAAAGCACAGTATAAAGACAAAAGTACGCATCTATAGGCTTTAAGAAAGCTTTATTAAATTGTGAATACAAGGTTCGCGTAGAGTGTCCTTTTATAGTCATAGTAAACAGAAATAGCTCCCTCAAAGAGCAGAGTAATAAAACAAGGGAAGACCACTCTTGGTTATTCATAACACAGTTTAACAGAATCTGTTCAAAATCGTAAATTAAAGAAAGCAGAAAACTAATACATTATTTAATTAGAAATGCTTTTAATTGCTTTTATAGATAAAATATATTATCGACACTATTGTCGTTAGAAACAAATTTCGATGAATAATGAATTTTTACAATATTTTTTTTCTTTTTTAAAAATATTAATTACAATAATTTATAAAGTTTTAAATATCTTAAAATGATGTATTAAATTGTAACGTCTCGGTGATAATTATTACGTAAACATGATATATGCACATCTGAACCCTGTCGAATAAGCCACATCTTGATGTAAGAAAACTATTGTTTCAGAAGTTGATATATGTTCAAGTGTGTGCTATCGAAGGGGCCCAGAATCCGACGACTGTATACCCGGAAGAATGATAAGACTCCCCAAAACAAGGGCTGCTTACTGGGTGACGACTCGGATATGGACGCCAAATATTTGCATATAGACTTAAGCATAAATCCGACCGACGTTTATCAATAGCCTCCAGTATAAAACGGATCAATTTATTTTCCTATAGGCTTAACAGAAACTCGAACAGCGATCAACTATAGAATCAAGTATAAAAATGGCCACTGTTTATATCTAACATTCATCCCGGAAATGAATATTGCTGCCAATTCTCATCTGATGCTACTGCTACTCATCTGATGCTCGACAAACTTCCTAGAACTTTCTGTAATATTATCGACCCTGAACTGACAACTTGATTTCAGTCGCTTTCCCTCTGTCTTTTCTATAAATATTTCTATGGCAATTGTCCTAATGTGCTCTCCTCCTGGGTTTTTCAACCACGTGATTTAAACGTACTAAAAATAACAATAATACCTCCTTGCACCACTATTACACGTTGGAGAAAAAGATTTTCGCGAGCTAGTATCAAATTATTTTCTAACTAATGAATATCTTGTATTCAAAAACTTCACACCTTTCTTTTGAAATTGTATTTCGGATCTCCCTTACGGATACAAAAATAGAAGCATTCTGCATTTCTGGTCTCAAAGCAAATTCGGAGGCCAGTTTGATTTGCACGTGTGTACACACTCACTCATACACACGGCACAGTGGAAGAGATAAGCCAGCTGCCGCAGACTAAGGGATTGCCAAGGCACTGAGGGAAACACTAGACGGACCGTCATGAAATAAGTATCCACACACCTCACTACGAATACTTAATTACTTTATAAAATAAACGTCACTGCAAGGAAAATTGAATATTTTGTTGTTATTGTATATCCCTGAAAGAAATATTATTTCAACTGGCTTTCTCCTT